GTCAGAGAGTAGACCGGCACTCCCCAAAGGATTCTCATGCTACAATTTAACCCGATGCAGTCAGCCTGGGTCACGGACATACATGTGTGCCTGGACATACATATGTGCCTGGCATGTACAGAGAGGAGAAAGGGTGGTAGGACACGAACCCAAGATCCTTCCATGTGGGTCTGGTTGTGTTATCACTGCGCCACCATCCAGCCACAAGCAGGTGTATCATTTTGAGAGATCCCTCAGGCATTCTGATGATACAAGGGGCTGCCTCTCCTCAGGCCACCCTGAGAATCACACTGAAAATGACTGGATGCAAACGCTGTTTCATAGTGGCCCTGTCTTCTATTTCGTTTCAAACACTACCCAATTTGGCCAATTTCCTGGCTCATCAGATTTGTTTCTGAGTAACTTTAGCTCTTCCTCCCAAACGCATCTCCTCAAATATTGATTTGTTGTCACAGTTTTGAAGGTGATCCCAATAGCAGGAAAGGAGAAGGCTGTGACGGTGGCCTAAATCTCCAATCTTGAGGTGATCCCTTTGAGAAGCCTCGTTAGGAGGAATTTATCCAACCAGATGGGCTCATGACCTCACAGTAATATGGAGACCACAGGAGGACAGAGACAAAGCGTGAGCGCTCTAAGGGACAGACGTTAGTGGATGAGGTGTGGGGACCAGCAGCAGGGTAGTGTCTGAGGCCACCTCTATGGAGGTTACTGCTGCCATTGCAACCTGCAGACAGGGCACTTAAACAATGGAGCCACCATGAAAGAAACCAGAAAAACTGCTGAGAACATCGTCTTTCTACTCCCCCAGAAGGGTGACTGGTACCTGCGATCTATTGCTTGTTCTAGCTCTCCCCTTCCCCCAGGGGTATGCGCATAAAGTAGGTTGGGTAGGTGCTTGGGTGATGGAAGGGGATGATCTTAGGGTTAGGAGTGGTATCACAAGAAACCCTCAGGACCTGGGAGAGGCTGGCAGACCCCAGCTGGAAAGCACAGTTCACACGATTGACAACTTTCAAACAAAAGACATGCTGTGTCCTAAGCATGAGCTCTAAGGCCGTTGGTGGGAGGCCAGCCAACAGTTTTTTAAGCCAGAGCTGGAATTCCTGAGATCCTCAGGTGAGCCCCGGCCTCGGTCTGTGCATTCATGTATTTGCAGAGAGGCATGTGGTTTTCCGCCCAAATGATAGCATGCGCTAGGATGCATGTAGTAAGTGGAACCGAGCCCCTACAACCAGACTGCAAAAAAATGCACACACACCCCACTGCAGGTAAGAAATATACGTGACTTTACTGGTCAGCATTTGCATATGGAGACGCAGTGCACACAATACTACATGGTGTTTTTCTTCAATTGATGCAACTCAGTAATTTTTATTGCAACTGGAAGACAATACATCACAGAAACTTTATGGTAGGTCTGGGGAAAAGTGTTATTTACAATAAATGATGAAATAGTTTGTCTTTGGCAATATGATTACATATGAAGAATGCAAAATGCAAGTATGGATGCCTCCAAAGCAACACCATCATGTCCCTACGGTTCGGCGGATCATGTCTGCCTCCACACTGCTGTAGGTTAACACAGACACAACTGAACATCACTTTCTTTCTCCTTTATGGTTCTCCCTTTCTATTCATGATATTGGCAGTTTCATACAGAAAATACAGAAAAAAAAATTGGCTTCTGAAAAATTATTACTCTTGTAAATTATTTTGGCCATGTAGGTCTATTGAACGGCAAGGTCAGACAACCCTAAGCATCAATAGTAAACCTCTTGGTTTTCTGATTGCTTTATCATTTTTTTTTCCCTGTAAAACAAAAACAAAACTCAGAAATGTGACAGAATCAGAGTATAAAAAAATGTACAAGTGTCTATGCTTCCCAGACACATACGGGTACTTGTTTTCTCCACGTGTTCACCATGGCAGTATAAGCAGTGAGTGTGAATGACACAGCATGAAACTAGGTCCTGAATCAGCTATGAGCTTAGATGGCCTCAACGTAGACTCAAGAAATGGTGAACATGAAAAGAACTGAATGCATGCTACGTTTCCTCTAAAAAAGGAGGGGAGTGAAGTGGGTTAAGGAACTCAGGCCACAGTCATGAAAGGATGAGATACAATTTCTAGAGTTGATAGGTTCACCATATCGAAGTCTTTGAGAATCCAATATGGAATATCAATTATTTGCAAAAGGCGGAGAAGGCAAGTCTCTCCACTTTTGCAAATGAAATACAGTGCAAAACACTGTTGTATATATTCCAAATAAATAGCCTCGATTTCAACGCTAACAAAACAACAGGAAGGGTATGTGTGAGCATCTCCCGGTAAGTCAGAAATGGGCTTCCACGTAGGTCTGATTTCGGAAGCACGAGGGCAAGATGCAAGCACCATAGACACATCGGTTTCGGCCGTGAAAAGATGGATCATTGAAAAAGATTGTGTTTTCCTTCCTTAATTTTTGGTCAGTGAAGCTAGCACTTGTTTGCTGAACTGTGGAAGAATAGCAAGGTCACACACATTATTCATGATAAAGCAACCGAGTTGACGAGTCTGTGCTTAATTCAAGAATACCAGTAGGAAAGAGAAAACACAAGGCATTGGCCACCATCGCTGGTGCACTCTCCAAGGAAGAAGGGTCAACAGGTGAGTCACAAAGGTAGGCAGAGCTGTACAGAACACTGAATGCCATGTGTAAATCCTCATGAACTCCAGAAACAGGAACACCACACAATGTATATACTTTGATTTACACGTTCCGTTACGAAGAGGAAAGAAAGGGAAAAAAAAAAAAAAAAAGACACCATTACAACTTTGTAACTGTGTTAACTGCGATATAAACCAAAGTCCAGAGTTTGGCAAGTAACTAAAAGAGGGTTATCACAGGTTATATAGCAAAAGTGTTGATGTATATTATATATAGTAGTATAAATAATAAAAAAGTATTATTTAAATTAGATCACAGTGCTGCATCACGTGCATAACAGTGTTTGATAGAGTATTGGTGGGCTGGGACCTATGACACTCAGGACTTCACTGTCAACACTGGTAAGTCACAATCAAGAGGGGACACAGAGTTCCAATGTTTTCTTTTGGTGGCAAAAATCCTGAAGATGAAAGAAAAATACTTCTCTACAGAAACATAAAAATAAATCGCAACATCTGGGCAGCTGTGATCCACCAGAAAGAAATGAGTCCCAACCTGAATAAAGTTAACAGG